AGCAGAGGATGATCCTTACAGTCCTTGCAAAACCAGGATGGTGCCTTCAGACAGCAGTGCCAGTGAATGGGTTAGTCTGTAATTAAATAACCCACCACCGAAATAGCTAACTCATTGCAGTGCCCCTCTGTCCTGCCAAGCGTCATCCTGGCTGACCCCACTGAGGAGTCCAGGCTACAGAAGGGCCAACGAGTGCTCCCCACAGCAAGGAGCAGGACCGCAGCCACCACGGGTGCAACCTGCAGCCGTAAGGGCCTGCCAAGTCTTTGTTTCAGTGGGTTATTCCAGAGGAAAAATACCTTTTGTAGAGAAAAATGCCTAATTAGCATCAAAGGAAATAAACAAAAAATATTTGAGCACTCATTAAAACATTTTTTTTTAAGGAAAATATTCTCGTCTTTAGAGGATGTTCAGGCTTGTTCTTATCTCTTTTCCTTCTTCATTTTTATGACTCATTCTGAGGAAGGAGGAGGAGATGGAGAGGATGAAGGAGAGAAAGAAGGAAGGAAGGATGGAAGGAAGGAAGGGCAGAAGGAAGGAAGGAAGGGAAGGAGAAAGAAAAATAACCTCCATAAAAGCACAGAGCTCCACAAAAATGTTCTAAAAGGAACCAGCATCTGTGTTTAGGGCCATATCAAGCAAGAATAGCTTTTAGATTCGGGAATGCCTTTGAGCAGATGTTATTTGGGCTTAAAAAAAGACATTCATTTGGAAAAAAAAAAGCCATTTTGGGGAACACATCAACATATCAAGCCCTTGTTTTGTAGAAGACTCGCTGTTTGGGAAAATACCTCTATGAGTCCTTGGGAGAGAACTGGACTGGGTCTGGCTCTCTTTGCACTTTGACTGTTTGCCTATCTGCAGGGTGATGTTCCCCTTTCCCTGCCTCACGTTCCCTCACCTTTAAGACAGGGGTGCAAGGGTTTGCCTCATCATGGGTCCTCTGGGTCCCCTGAAGCCTAGTAGACCAGATGTCCTGGTGTAGGCACTGTCCCTCTTGGTGATGGCTCAGACACTATTTTGTTTTGGTTTCGTTTGGTTTTGTTTGGTTTTCTCAGGGTGGCAGCAGGACTGGGTACTCACAGTTTGGTGATTTTAATTCATTTGTTCTAGACAATTGTGTTTTTTATCTGGGTCGTGCCGAGTGGCAAACAACAAGCAACTACCTGGGAGCACAAGCTCTGCACTCTTCCTCTGAATGGATAAAATGCAGATACGTCAGTGGGCAGCCAAAGTTCACTCTCATTTTTACCCTTTACAAGCTAAACCTAATTCCTTATTATTTGTAACTGAATGGTTTTTATAGGGCCATATTATGGGCAGGTCCCTGCTGTGCCTCATCTTTCCCAGGAACAGCACAAAGAAGTTCCTGGCCTTGAAGAGTTTGCCAGCAAAAAAAACAAACCATCAGGGCTAAGCAAGAGGATTGCCTCACCTTGCAGGTGGGTCTTGCAAGTCGCAAGCTAACTCAAGCTCATTTCTGGAATAAATAGCATGCCTTTAGATCCAGAGGAAAGAGAAGGAATGAGCAGAGAACAACTCTTAAATTTCCAACAACTTAAATTACCTTGGGAATAACTGCAGCCGTGAGGGTGGGTGTGCAGCGAGCTTCCTTGTTAAAGCCATCAGTTGCAGCGCTGTTATCTGTCGTGATTCACCGTGTGTCTCTGCCTCTTCTACAATCAAGAAAAAAAATGGAAACAGTCCTAAGGGCTCAATGAAATGAGAACTATGTGTACTCTGTTTAGGGATTTTGGTAATGATCTTGATGGAGCAATTGGTGTTGAGCACGGCTGAAGGGGCCATAGCCACCTTGGGGGATTTCAGGTCCCGTCAGCTTGACCGCATTCCCCGAAATCCCTGGCCTCTCAGGAGAGGTCTCCCTTCTTCCTTCTTGGTCAATGCGTCGCTTCTGGCCCCTTCCAAGCCCTAAGTGTTCAGTCAGGTTCAAGTCACCTGCCCCCAGATTCCCAGCCCGCCCAGGACGCGCGGCCGGAGGCACCTCCCTCCAGCACGTCCCAGGGCCGGATTGGAATAGCCAGGTGTGAGCAGCGGCCTCCCTCCCCGACGCGCTTGATAACTCACCGCTCCTGCCTGGGGCTGCTCACCGCAGCCCTTCCCGTCCCCGCTGTTGTCCCTGCTGTCATGCCGACCCTGCGGCTCGTCGCCCTGGGGCTGCTCCTGGCGCTGGAGCCTGCCTCGTGTCAGGAAGGTGAGCCCATCGCTCCAGGGAAACGGAGGCACGGGGCAAGTGGAGGCTGCACAGGGCACGCACTGTGTCTCTGAGCACGGGGGGGACCCCAAAAGATCTGTCTGGGGAAGGGAAGGGGGAAAATGCCGTGCTTAGAGCTCTGACTTCATGTACATGGGGGCAGAAGGGAGGTTTGGTGCTGCAAAATCTCTCCCGAGGTGAAGCATAGGCAATTTTCCCCTTATTCAGTTCAGTGCTGAAACTTAGAGCAGAGATTTATCTTACCTGGTTACACAGAGGTAAAAACAGCTCTGATTTATCTCTGCACTGCGATGAGTAATTTGTTTTCTTAAGGCTTGCTTTTTCTCTCTCTCTCTCCTCCCGCCCCCAGAAGAGCCCTGCGCTTGGTTGCTTTCCCTGCTTGCTGAGATCTCATATATTCTCCTGTTAATCTTTAATGCCAATCGCTGCTGAGGTGGCAGGGGGAAATATTTCCTTCTGCAAACTGAGCTTCCACTGCCTTGCTGAAGACTTGATAGAGAAGTTTCCTGTTGCTGTCACAGTAGTTTTATGCCATTTGTGGGAAAAAAAAAAGGGAAAACTTGAAAGAATATAACCAGGAGTAATTAAAACTAATCTGATCCTGCCAAAGTCCTGGAAAACTCCCTCCCCCTTTCTCCTCCTGGTGCCCCAACCTTGACTGCTCTTCCTGCATTTGTTTACCAACTTGCTAAGGATTTAACAGTGTGGGGTCTCCACTGTCAGCAGGATTAAAAGGTTTGCTGTTGCCTTGAAGAGGGGAAAGAAAAAAGGTTCAGAAAGGGTTTAGAGCCTGCAGCAACTTTCTCGGACGTGACAGAGCACAGGGAAGGGCCAGTTTTCCGAGTGCTAGAGGAAGATGCGTCAAGGCACGTGCATATGTATTTAAACAAGCCTGGAGTATGAAAGAGTCACAGCATGGGCAAGAGCTAATATTGCCATTTTCCTTGGTTTTGTTCATGCCTGCAGAGCCACGGACTCTGATGTGTGGCCAGCACATGGTTGCACCCGAATTGCTTATTTTGTTCAAGGAAAAAACCTTGGCGGTGGGAAGGGGGTAGCTTGGCCCTGGGGCACGTCTCGGTGGCAAGGAGATGAAGGTGGGTTTTGGAGCAGGATGTCTTCAGCCTATGGAGCATGGAGAAAATGTTCAGGCAAATTTTTTTCCCAGGTTGGGTCATGCTCCCTAGGGCACGTGCAGCCTATCCCCATGCCGCCCTTGGGGACACCACTGTCCTCGCTTGAAGGCTCATGAAAACAGCTGCTGGAGTGAGAGTTCACTGGAGAAAAAGCACCTGGGGCCTCCCAAGACTTGCTGGCTGGAAGTCTCCTACCCATTTAGCTCCTGTCCTGAGCAACCAGGAGATGCAAGTTTTGAGAATTTGGTCCCCCCAGTATGGGTTTATCCAGCTTGTTCTTGAACTCCCTTAACCTCAGCAGCAACCTCACTAAGGGCTGGACCCGGGTTTCACTTCTGAGGCTCGCGTGGAAAACCCTGGCCCCAGCAGGAAGAATTAAGCACAAATAATAAACAAATCCGGCAGCCAAGGACAGGGTGAAGGAGGAAGCAGGGCTGGCCAAAGCCAAGGGTGGATTTTGTGGGTGTCTCCGGGGCTGCACCCATGTGCAGGACCTGCTCCACCGCTGTGGATGCCCCAGGGCAGTGTCCAAGCCCTGTTGTTGCACCCAGCTCATCCCTTTCTTACTGGCAACACTAGCCGCTGATGCAGGCGGATTTCAGCCAGAGCACACTGAGACAAGAGGGAATTTCCGCCTATATTCCTGTGAGTGCTTTTGGCCCTGGGACTCCTCAGTAAACACATTTAAGTGCTTCTTCTGGCTTGCTCCAAGCTCTCAGTTTGCTAAATCGAGTTGTGTTTCACCTCCACAAGGAAAATGGCTCTTTGCTGCTTTTGTTTTTCTAAAAGCCAAGGTCCTCTTGAAATGATGTGACCCAAAGATCGGGGGCTCCTAAAAAGCAATCATCCAACAGTGATGGCATAGCTGTCAGCAGCAGACCCAGTGAGTAGCTGAGTGTGGATGTTTAGCTTGCAAATAGAGTTTGCTTAGCTCGCTTTATTGCCTCCACAAAAGATCATTTGTGGTTTATGGCAGAGATTTGCCTGCTGCAAGTGCCCAGCTGCTGCATGCCTCCAGCACCAGAAGGAAGCTGTGGGACAGCAGTGCTTGACAAGGCTGAGGACACCGGCTCTGCTTGCCATGGTCATCCCCGTGCTCTGTGCCTTTGCAAGGGCTCCCAGCATGTGGGTTGGCAGCTGGCATGGAATGGGATCTTGCATGGACTGAGGTCTGATGCTCAGTGGCAGGGAGCTTTCCACCTTCCCCTCTGCCCTTCGCAAGCTGGGCTGCAGCTGGGAGGTTTGATTTATGTGGAAAAGTTCATTTTTAATCAACAGAAACAAGAAAAACCTTATCCAAACAAAGTGATAACCAAGTCTTAAGAGGATGTGACTGCACATTCTTTCAACACTTAAGGATGGGTGTAGGTATGTTTGAGTATGACAGTCCATGAGAAGAGTTAAACAAGCAGTTCAAGCAAAAGACTGGGAACTAAGATTTTCCTTCTCTCTTGGTGCTGGCCTTGAGTTTCTTCTTCATCCTGCAGTACATCTCACAGCCCTCCTGTACCTCTGTGAGTGTTCATGGGACTAGATTGTGGCTTGGGCATGGTGACGAAGAGCAAAACTCATTTTCCAGATGTTTTTTGCAGACAGACCTGTTGAACAAGGCCAGGCATGTGATTGCATACTAGAAGTGAAAGTGGGTGATGTCTTGTCTGGTCAGGGTTTTGCTTCCTCCCGGTCATTCTCTAGAAAGCTTCATGTCCCGACGGACAAGTCAGGTAAAGGCAGTGTTGTCCTGTGGGAGGGGGGGATCTGGTCAGTGAGGGCCCAAATGACAATACACTGGTTTCATCAGCAAGGTTGTCTTGCAGGTCCCTACCCTTCACTCCTGGCCATCTCATGGCTAAATAAAAACAAACAAACAAACAGAAACAAACTGTATAGCGCCACTATTTCAGGATCCTCATTTGACCAGACAGTATTTGGAAAATAACGAGGAGCATTGTCTGTGGGACCTTGGTATCCAGAGTAAACAGTTGGTTGAAACCCCTCTTCCTTCTTCCCCGCAGCACTTTAGACAAATACTATAATTTTATCAGGTCTATATCTTCAGCCATTAGTAACTCTGGTGTTTGTCCTATTTAACACAGAGACCTTTTCTCCTCCTTTGCATTTATCCACAGGTGTTTAAGAACTGTTCTTTAGATTTGCTGTCTCTGCACGTAGCAGTATTTGTGCTTAGGCTCACGTTGTAAGGACAGCCAAGGTCTGCCATACCGTTCACGGGAGCCCATACTAAAATGTCTGTGCTCTTTGGGAAACTTTCCCCTCAAATCCCCTCCTGATTTCTTCTGTTCTTGCTGTCAGTCAGGGGGTTTTCTTCAGTTTCCCCCTGCCGGTGCTGCTGCCATTGGTTAAGGACTGTGCTGGTTTAGCAGCATCATGCCCTGCTTGGCTTTGCAGGTCTCAACTCCTGGCTGGACACCACTGACGCTGGTACGAGGAAGCTAAGGTGAACTAGTGAAGTGCAAGGAGGTGCTTTTAATACATGTTGTCCTTTCCTTCTACAGCCCGGGGCAACCTCCAGCCGTGGTCGCAAGGCGTCATCGCAGTGGTTGTGTTCCTTGTCCTGGTGGCCATTGCTTTCACGGTCAATAAGCTCTGGTGCAAGGAGAAAGAGTAAGTGCTGGGAGTGCCAGGCACCCAGGGGTTACTTTGGGCTTGGCTTAGCTCTCGCAGTCCTAACGCCTCTGCACAGATCTGTGCTAGTGCTGGGAACACAGTGACCATCGCACACAGTGAATCAAGGGTAGATGGAAAAGACTGGCCGTCCCGTGCTCTGATCACAGCTGCTTCTTGTAGTCAAGATTCTTCCTGGCTGTAATGTGGAGCAAAGGGAAGGAGGATCAGCAGAAAGAAGTATTTGCCTGAGCCTTGTTTCCTAAAGATTTAGGATGGGTGGACTGAATCTTGAACTGAATTTTACTATGGCTGCCTCATGAGCTGATTCCCTACAAGCCATCAGCGGAGAGTAAAACCCTTCCTGAGAAGTGGGTGCTTTCATGGCTTGTTGATGACAGCTCCCCTGGCCTTATTTCCAGTGCATCTGCCATGTGTTTGTGGTGTCTAAATCGTACTCATGCAGAGAACCAAAGGGGAAATTGATGAGGTTTTGCCAGGCAGCTCCCCATGTGGAGCCTGGGGCATAGAGAAGCTAAGTGGACGGATCTGAGCCTGTTGGAGAAGGCTGGGCACTGCTGTTCACCCTTGGTCTCCGCAAGCTAAAAGAGCACAGGGGCTGCTGCTCCTCCCAGCTGACCCATGGCAACTTGCTAAGCTGCAGTAACTTGATCTTGAATCTGAGCCCAAAGCCAAGGGAGAGACAGAAGAGGGACTATAGCCTTGTTCCCAGTCACTGTCCCAGTACAGGCACTTTGGGCTTTGCACCAGCGAGAGGTTTCTTACATGCGTGCAGCTGTGCAGCCTCTGCAGGCACGAGGAGAAGGACCTAGTAGGACCTAGATGCATCACTGTGCCCATATCATCTTCCAGACATTCAGCTCCAGTGCAAGCAAATATATATGTATACATGTATTTGCTTATATATGTGCATATATTAGCATATATGTGTATATGTATCTTCTGATTTCTAACCATTTTAAATGTCTCTGGAGACATTCTGTAAAGGTTGACCTGAGCTAAAATGCAGTCTTTGCTTGCCAAAGAGAAACCATTGCTCCTAAACTGAGTCACAGGAGATTTACACCCACAGACCAGGCGTCAGAGGTGGTGTCACCCACCCCTGCCCTTGCTTGCCCATTTTGGGCTGCCTCTGCCAAGGAGCCCAGAGGTGTCCCTGGCTCCAGCACTAGGGCTCGGCTCTGCCAGCGAGGCTGGTGAGGAGGCCGGGGGGGATGGCAGCTTGTTTTAATTAATCTGGCCTGTCTTCAGAAGAGATGCTTGCAAAGCTCAGCAGCCTGGCATGCTGCCAGCTCAGCACTGTCACTTTGACAGCACTTATCAGCTTAAGTCACCGCCTGTTTATGCCATTCTGTTCCTTGAAAAAGTCTCGGAAATTGCCCTTTAGCGAGCGCTGAAGGAGGTAGCGACGTGCATGCGCAATGCACCCGTGTCCACCCGCCACCTCCAAGCCCTTCTGCATTTCTGGGGCCATTCAGTTCATGGACTCATTCCAGTCTGTGCTTTTTGGCTCCAGCTGAGGCTGTTCCTGTCTTGCACTTCCTTCTACAAAGGATTCAGACCTAGATCCAAATGGAAACCCCTGAGTCGTGCCTGTGCGGATGTACCCGCGCGCACAGACGCACCTGCCAGACGGCCATGGGACAGTCTCTGCACTGTGTGTCCGCTTGGGCTGTTGGTGACTGTTTTGCAACAGGCCACAGTGAAGAAAGCTGGAAAAACCTGTTAGCAGGAGAGAACAATCCCAAGTATTGATAGATGAGTCTTACTGAGAGCCGCAGTGCTGTCACCAGCCCAGGCTGGTGATGGGAGTGCCAGCAGCAGGCACACAACTGGGTTAAGATGGACCTGTAAGAGCTGAGTCCAGGACCACACGTTTAGCTGGAGGTGCCTCTGACTCACAAGGTCACTGGTGTCTAAGAAGTCCTCCCTCACTGGTGTTGGCAAGAGCCCCAGCTGCTCTTCCCCTGCCCATGTCTGCAAGGCCTTTCCTTTGTTCTGTCTCAATTCCTACCAACAGGCTCTTTCTTCTCCCCCTCCAGGGAAAACGTTGAGGCAGTGGTGAGCATCGGAGACAAGCATGAAACTGTCCTCTCCAACGGCCATGAAGGGAGATATGTAACAACAGCAGCGGACTTCAGGTGAAGGCCTTGCTCAAGACTTTCTCCCTGCTCTGGGCATGCAGAGCCACAGCTTCCCTCCCACTCTGGCTCTCACAGACCCCATGTACCTGGTTATTGTGGCCAATATCCACCACAGGGGCAGAGAAAAAGGTAGTGAGGAATGATCCAGCCCTCCCTTTTCTCTGCTCCTTTCTGCAGCCAAGACTCACGGTCCACCCCTTGCAACCTGCTACACCCTGTCTTTTTTTAATGCTGCATCACACCTTTGAACAGGGGAGGTCAGAGCCTCCATACTCCTAGGTCTCTCCAGACCTAGATCACCATAGAAGAATAGAATCACAGAATGCTTGAGGTTGGAAGGGACCTCCAGAGGTCATCTAGTCCAACCCCCCAACACACACAGGGTCACCTAGAGCACGTGGCACAGGACTGTGTCCAAGCGGATTTTGAAGATCTCCAGAGAAGGAGACTCCATGACCTCTCTTGGCAGCCTGTTCCAGTGCTCTGTCACCCTCACTGTTAAGAATTTTTTCCTTAAGTTCCTGTGGAACTTTCGGTGCTTCAGTTTGTGGTCATTTCCTCTAGTTCTATCAGTGGCCACCACTGAGAAAAGAGCAGCACCATCCTCCTCACTGCCTCCCTTGAGGTGCCTATAGACACTCATTAGATCCCCTCTCAGCCTTCTCTTCTCCAGGTGCTGGGTGTCAAAACAGTCTTCTCTATAAATTAATCTGCCCTATGTGCTCTGGGATTCGGTTGTCTCATTCAGAGAGGGATCCCTACCTCCAGCTCAACTTGCTTTTTTCCTTTGCAGATAGTTTGGGAATGAAAAACCTTTAAGATTCTATGGTGACCTCCATACTTGACTAACTTCTTACTTTGATACTTCTGCAAGCGCAATGTCAATCAGGATGTGTCTGACATGCATGGCCTTACAGTCGGACTTGATGATCTTGAAGGTCTTTTCCAACCCTAATGATCCTATGATTCTATGGTCAGGGTCCCCAACAATACCTTGGAGGAAATTGTTCTTGCCAGAGTCCAGCCTCACCCTGGAGTGAGCTAACTGCCTGTGCTTTCCTCTTCCATTCCAGGTCCAAAGAAAGTGAGCATACCTACGAGAACTTTGTGGAGCCTGAGGAGAAGGTGGTCACCACCGCAATGTAGCACATGCCCTGACGATCAGCCCTTGTTCTTCCTCTCCACCCCTCACTTTGCTTCCCTCTGTCATGAGGGACATTTTCACAGGGACCCTCCGCACTGACTTCCCCCATACATGACTGATACCTCGACCTCTGCAAGTCCGTCATTTTCTGACCTTCTCCCTTTCCGTGTCCCATGTGCGGGATGGCTCATGATGTTCTGCATCTCAGCAAGGCTCCTCGGAGCCTGGTGTCCATGCAGGGGTCTGTCTCCAGGAGAGTGAGATCTCTCCTGCTGTGGGATCACCAGACCCCATAGCTTACGCTGATCTGTCCTGATCCCAGACATGACCGTGGGCCTGGAGCCAAGCATGGGAGTCTTATGTTGGTTGTGTGATCCTGTGCCAGCCCTGAAGGCATTTCAGGGGGTCTTATCTGGCTTAACCTAGAGGAGGGAAGGGGAAAGGCCTCCAAGAAAGCAGCCAAAGCCTTGGCACCGATGCAGAGAGAGGTCAGGAGAAACTCACCATCCTCTCCACCACTCCAGGCACAGGAGAGCCTGGTCCTGAGTCACGGATGCCCCTACCCAATGGCATACCCAACAACCCCAGGGCTGGTTGTCCCTTCACTGACACATTGACGCTGTCACCTCTCATTGCTAGCTCTGCAGGGACCCGGCTGCTCTGGATATGGAGCTTAATGGGGCAGAGGGCTCCTTCCATCCCTATCTGCCCCCAGCCCTCCTGGAGCTGCTGATTGAAATCTGCACTCTTCTTGGTGTTTAACCTTCCTTTGGACAACCAAAGGCTCCGAACCGAGCATTTTGATTTCAGAACAAATATGTTCCTCTGTATATATCACCCCTGTGAGCAATAAAGGGAGTTGTCCTTCAATACAACAGCAGCATGACCACAAAGAGGATCATTTTTGCTAATCACGCGGAAGACTTGGTGGCATCCACCAGCACTCCCAGCTGGCGGATGCCTGCAGGCAGGGTGAGCTGGTGGATGCCTGGAGGAGGGAGGCTCTGGGATGGAAAGGGTGTTCAGGGGCCAGGAGTGGTCCAGCCCTTCACTCCTCGGGTCTGAGCATCCCTCCTCTCCTGTCCTCATGGTCCTCGCTTGGTGGGACCCATCCATTACTTCCTAGCTTAGACTGCAGCCCAGAGTGCTCTCATGTGTGTCTGTGAACAGACAGGGGAGAGGAAGAGGAGAAAGCTTATTTTGCTCTGCACCTTATTGCTTTGCAATGGTAAGAGGCCAGTGCATCCTTTCCTGGGGGTAGAGGGAGAGACAAGATGCCTCCTCCAGCCCATTTTTTGTGGTTTTAACCTTCAGGAGAAGGACAAAACAAGGACTGTGCCATGTCCTACTGGTCACCTGCAGGAACACTTGAAGGGGCAGCACTCCTGCTGCTTCCCAGGCGCAGGCTCTGCTCCTGGCCTGGGGGTGAAGCTCACTGCGCGTCACGCCTGGCTGCAGGGACGGGCAGTGCTTGATCCTGCTAGGACAGCGCCTGCTCCTGCCCCAGCCCACGGCCTGGAAGGGCCTTTGAGTGCAGGTGAAACTCATCCCTCTTCCTTTGCCATGAGGGAAACTGCAGCATGGCACTAATTCAGCACTTCCCCGAGGATGCTCTGTGAACAGCGGTGCCTGAACAATGTGGGCCCCCGAGCACAGGCCCGGGGCAGACTGGGCACCTTGTGCAGGGCTGGGGGACATGTGAAAGGCATCTGCTTCCCTGGTGTTGCTAGGAAGTGGTGCCGGCTCCGCTCCAGGCAGTGCCACTGGCTCCAGGGCTGCCAGATGCTGGCGTGAGCTGTTCTCCTGGGCTGTTCATTAACCAGCTCCCTGTGCAAGGGTCTTGTTTTGCTGAAGGAGGGATGGCACTGGGGAATGGATCAGGACACCTTGCATGGCTGTGGGATGATGGCACCTGCCAGGGTCACCATCCCCGGAAGCAGGGGTCCTTTCAAGCTGTGGCATCCAGAGACTGAAACTCCTGGAGAAGGTGCTGGGGAGGATGCTGAACCCCTGTAGCATCTCTCTTTCTGTCACCCCTGTGCATTGCTGACCATCACCTTGAAGGCAAGGGGAGATGTTTGACCTGCTGTGAAATGCCAGTTTGGGTAGGCTGTGATCTGCATGGTTGGAAAGTGTGGGGACCCCTCGCCTTGCTTCGGAAGGAGCTTTGGAGGCTGGTTTTGTAGATGCAGCAGAAGCAGGAGCTGGACTGCTGGGGGAACACACAGGGATATTTGAGTTGTCACTTTGCTTCTCATTCGCACAGCCCTGCTCTGAGACATCTCTGCTCTGCAGATTTCACCCCCGAAAGCGGGGTATGCTGGGGCTTTTCTCCTGCATCTGCTGGTAGCCAAAAAGTCCCAACCCTCTCCTAGAGGAGATGTTTCCCCAGACAGGCAGATGCAGTGGGTCTCCTCCCAGATGAACGCCTGCAAAATACCCTGGAGGCTTCTGATATGGAAAACTGCCAGCTATTCCCCAAAGGCTACAACTAAGGCGTAATGATGGTCCTGATGGGGAGCACAAGCAAAAAGAGCTGCTCTTGGCTGCGGAGAGCAACAGGATGGGAGAGGGGAGAAGGGTGCTGGGAGCCGTGGCCTTGGGTTGGACCATGGTGTCCCCAAATGCTGTGAGCTACTGTTGCCTTGCACTTGATAGCCCATGGCTAACAGGTGATGATGGGAAAAAGCAGGTATGCAGGACATAAGTGTTTTGGTAACAGACCTGCCCTAAAAACTGCTACTTTGAACAGCCTCATGTAGGCAAATGTTTAGAAAATGCCCCAGAGCCCCCACGCTTAGAAATCACCATTTCAGCTGAGAAATCCCCTGTGGGGGGAAATGGACAGGAGGTTTGGAGGGGTCAAATCCTTCTTGGGGTGGCGTGAGTCAGTGGGGGCTTGGGAGGGGACCTATGCTCGTCATTGCTCTGCACTAGAGCCATTTTCTTTAACCAATATTCCTCTTTCAGCTAGGGGCTGATCCAGCCTGAGACTGTCTCCTGGAAATGTGGGGTCTGTGAGACTCTCTGCTTTCATTTCCCCAGCACTAAAGAAGCGCTGCCTTTCCCTGATCGATAAATGGGTCCCTGCTTCTTCCTACATGTTCTTCCCGCTCACCTTCCCTAATGGGAGCCTCTCCCCTGATTCTGAGTGCCGAGTAGCATGCGAATTTGGAAAACAAGCTCCCCAGAGCTGGCTGGTAATGATTTGCTCAGCAGAACTGAAGGGGGATTAGGCATTGAGCATTCCCACTGTGTCAGCACTCTGGCTCCTGGCTGGGGGTGTGGTGAGAGTGGGAGCCTATTAATTTTTACCTCTCGGTTGCAAAATAAGTTATAAACAACACCCTTCTAATGAGTAACAGTGTCAGGTTATCCCCTGTCATGTGCATGGCCTGGACGTGAGGCAAGCGCAGAGGGTTTTTGTGGGAGCAGGGAAGGAGCTGAGCTGATGCTCTGGAGGGTTTGGCCATGGGCACTACAACTGGTTACATGATGGGGTATTGTGTAGCTGCTTGGCTGGGAGCAAATCTGAAGTGCAAAGGGTCCCTTTCCCTGGAAGAAGCCAAGGAATGAAGGGACCTAGCTGCATGAGGGAAATTGGGCTGTCACTAGCTGTCCCGGAACTGTGGGTACAAAGAGGCAGAGGGAAGTGACCTGCTTGTTGCCTGCTTTGGAATAACCCCAGGAGCATCGGTGCTTGGTCCTGGTCAGAGTCCAGCCACTGTTTCGGTCTTTAGAGTTCACTTTTCCAGGAAAACCTCTTTTGCAAGAGTCATTTTGTGTTGTTTGTATCACCTCGCAGTGGCAGCCTCCCCTTCATGCTATCTGTTATACTGTCCTGCCTCAGTTTCCCCTGTCTGTGGAGCAGGGCCTGGAGTCTTTCTGCAAGAAAAGGCTCCTCTGCTGAAGAGCAGCAGGAAGCGCGCGCAGTGCTGAGCAGGCAGCTCGCGGACGTTTCTTGGTGTGATCCTAAAACGAACAAAAGACAGCAAGTATAAATGAAATTTATTGTTGGGAAATCTTAATTAGATTTTAAGCCCCAAAGGGAGAAAAGTGAAGTATTATCTGACACAGCTAATGAGTGTTAAGGGTCCATTGTTATATTTCTTGTTTACCTTTCTGTGCTGGCTGATACGGCCTGGATTCTCGCCTCTATTGCCATAATTAGGATATCTCATCTCTTGCTGATAGGGTCGGGGATGCTGTTTAAAGCACAGTGCTGTTTCAACCCTCTCTGACAAGAGGAACATGATTGGGAAGACAACTTCTCCTGGTGCTCCAGCACTTGTGCCAGCCACGTTGACCTTGTGAGCTGGGGACACCTTTGAGAGAGGCTAGTGGTACCTGATAACACCCAGCTGATGGACATCTCTGGCAGTCTGGGTGACCTCTCTCATGAGCCTCTGTCTATTAAAAGGTAATCGAGTGGCAGTTAGTGGTCTAAGCACAGGCTCAAGTGCATTTCTTTGGATATTGTAGGGCAAAGGTGGTCATTTTGAAAAGCTGCTGAGCAAGCATGCCTAAAGAAACTGCCCAAACGTGGCCAGACCAATGACCAGTGATGCTCTTGAAGGAAATTTGCTGTCCCATAAAACATGACTCGAGGGGTTCAGCAAGCAGGTCTCTCTTCCCCTCACCTCCCTCTCTAAGGAGTACTCCCATTCAAGCAGTGAATATTGGGCTGAACACTAGGGCTACACCAGCTCTGCTTTCCCAGCATGGGCACACAAATTTGCACTAGCCACATTCACCAACCTTCTCTCCTGCCCCCAGCCATGGGAAACCATGAAGCCACAAACCCACTTTTACCTGTTAGGGTCATTCTCTACAGGGACAACAACTTTCTGCTGTGTTGCTGGAGGATACCACTTGGCCCTTTGGCCCCTGGACAGCAGGGCACCTTGTAGAAGGGCACTGTTATCCTGACACTTCCCTGAGCTCGTGATTTCTCAGTGTCAGATCACACACACAATGAGGCATTACGGCCCCTTGAGATCAGATGCAACCCTGTCTAGCACCCAGGTACATATTTTGTGCAGAGAGAAGGGGGTTTTCAAAAATGGTTCCCAACCAGCAGTTTCAGGTTAGCATGTGATCATTTCCAAGGAGCTGGCAAAGGCATCGTCAGTTAAGGGCTCTTTCTTCTGAGCTTCGCGTGTCATCATGTATGCTGTGCACTGGAGGCCATATACCCCTGCACGACCATTGCACCCTGCCAGTGGAGATCATCTCCTCCTTGAGCCCCATTCTGTGGCCATGTGTTGTGGCATTGCACCCACACATGACCCACATGAACACTGCAGGGAAGATCCGAGATGGAGCAAGCAGGAAAGGGGTTAGCAAGGCTCTTTGGCTGTGGACACTTAGGATGCTTCTGCTCCAGCTATGGTCTTCTGGAGCGCTCAGGCAAATCCTACCCCTTCTTTGGATGCCAGGCACACTCCAAAGCAGACAGCAGCATTAGAACACCAGCAAAGGGGTTAGCACTGCATAGCCCAGAGGACATGTAAATTATCAAAAAGTACTTTAATTAAATGCTTGCTGCAAGCAACAGCTCTGACTTGCAGAAGCCAAGGCTTGGAGTCTGTGTCCTTTCAGTGAGCCATGGGGAGCCCATACAGGGATCCTAGGAAGAGCCAAGGAAGTGTGGGGGGAGCCAGGCATAGTGTGCTGGGGCCTCTCTGCTTCCCCCGGGCAGGTAGGGAATTGCAGAGGGAGAAGAGTGGACAGCAGGTGAGGGCAGTGCAGGCTAAGGAGTGATGCTACCAAGGCAGGGATGATGCTACGAGTTGGTGCTTCTGTGGGAAGGGACAAGGAGCCTGGACACAGCAGGGCAGCCAGCCCAGGTGGGAGCGCATCGGGGTACGTGCAAGGTGGCCGGGAAGTTTTTGGTCTAGATTCAAGCCCCAGAAAGCCAGGAGTAAAATACCATCCATTGTTGGTTTATACACCCGTAGTAGCCAAACAAACATCCCCGGAGCCTGTCCTTATCACTTTATTACACCTGCTAGAATGAATAGATTAAAGAGGCCGGGGGAGGGGGGAGAAAGCAGAAGAATCCAGCAGAAAAACTGGGTTTTGGGATTGTTAATTATTCTCTGGGGTCTCTAATCTTTAACTGGCAAACAGCATCACTAACTGTCTTAAAGCCCCTCCTGGAACATCCTGATAATAAGCCATCTGCATGAAGGCACCCCGTTATCTGCCCTCCTCCAGCCGCCTGTGACATGGCTGGAGTGGGAGATAATGAATGTGCAGCGTGTAATAACGACACGTCATTCATGATTATCGGGCTGATACCTAACCTTTTAGCTTCATTGTTTGTGCTAAAAAAAAAAAGAAAAGAGAGAGGAAAAAAAAAGGAAAAAAGGGGGGGAAAGGAAAAAAATAAAAAAGGAGGAGGAGGGAGAGAAAGAAAGGAAGAAAGGGGATTTTTTGGTGCTACAAGCTGGGCTTGGTGTCTCTGACGTGTCTCCCTGCCAAAGGGGCTGTCTCTGAGGCGGCTGGTGGCACCCTGTAAGAAATATCCTGTTGATTGGCAGCTGCTGTAGCCATGGTGATGAGGGGAGAAAGCCAAGAAAGTGCCGAAATGTCATCGCGTGGCACGGGGACGTTTGGGGCAAACGATTAGATCACTGTCATGATGCCCTGCCTGGCTCCTCATGCTGTTTGTGCTTCTCTGGAAGCCGTTTAACGTTGGCTCCGTAGAAGAGGGTTATCAGGTGTCGCTGTAACACGCTGCCAGCCAGAAACTCCCAGTGTTTAAAGGCGGGAGAGATGTTTAGGTTGCCTGGTTTTGCCTGGATAAGCTGAAAAGTGGAAGAATTTTCTCCTGGTTGCTGCTGTGCTGGGCCCACTTCTGAGCCTGGGGGTTAGTGATACATGGGCAGTGGTAGATCTTCCACCAGAATACTTTGATCTTGTGCAGACATTTCAAACCTGTGTTACTGGTAATTCTGTATACACAGGAAGTGACTTTTTAAAAGTGTTTGCTTCAAATTACTCTGATTATTGCCAGAACTATCTAGAAATATGATCCATTTTTTTTTGATCAAAAATGGAACTAGGCTTATTTGTGTTTCCTGAGCAGATTTCCCATCACTGTATCTCCAGGAAAGGCCTCAGATCAAAATCATCCAGGTTTGGCCACTCATAAAAATCAGACAGACTGCTGAAAGCCAAACAAGCAGCCTTGTCCACAGGAATTGATGTTTAATGGGATCCTCCTTGCTGCTGAAGATCTCAAGGCACTTGCAAAGCTGAGCTTTGAGGGAGAACACGGCACAAGAAGACCCCAAGCTGAGACGTGGAGATGAGAGGTGCTGTCTCCCCATGCCCCTTCTGTTTTGACTGCTTCCTTCTTGCCTGTACTTGGGCTCAAAGACCTGCAGGGATCGGCTTTCAGCTGCATTTCTCCCTCCTCTGCGCTCTCAGCCCTCTCTCCACCGGGTTTTTCCCCATCCCTCCTGTCAACCTGCTCAGGTAGGCTGCAGGGAGCAGCATGAGACCCCATTGCAGGCAGCGCGTGGACTGGCAAGTTGGGCTGCACCAGGTCTTTGCAGGCAAAGGACTTGGACTGCAAACTGGATGGGGGGTCGTCAAGAGATACAAGGTGTCTTTCTTCTTCCTTGGCTGGTCATTGAAACATCTCATACACAATTAAGATGGCAGAGCGGAATTAAATCTCATCATTCTCATGCAAACAACACGTGCCCTGCGAGTAACACACCAGTTTCAGCGATCAGACCTGCAAGAACGACGGATTTTTCCCTTCAAAGCAGCTATTGCAGCATATTAAGGCCTCACCTAAGGACCTGGGATGATTTAACTCTCTGAAAACCCTTTTTTCTCTTCCAACCAGTCCCATGCCCAGTTGTCTGCTACCTGTGCTCGGCGGGATAGGCAGGACCGTGCTTGCAAAGCAACCTGCTCTCCAGTCATGCCAACAGTTGTGTCTCCAGCTGTGCCTCAGTTTTTCCTTCTTCCTATGAAAACACATCAAACTTCCTATTGACGTTGATGAAGACAAGGCAGTGCCTGGCAGATCTGCCTGTATGAGTCTTTCTAGTAATTCTGGGTGACGCTATTGCTAGACTGGCCTATGGCGAGGTCTAGGCTAGTAGCCTCCTTCTATCCTTATTCTCCCACTGTGGCATTTTAGGTATGTGTCCAGACCTCAGTGCCTTGCTTTCCCTAGATATGTGCTGAATACCCTGGATACCTGCAGTGGCAGCCTGAAAACTGGTGCTTCAGTCCTGCAATGCGTAGTGGGACTACGACAGCAGCGTTCTGCTCTGCTTCCCACAGAGGATGGAAAGGGCAGGATGCAGCTCCTTGCTGCCCTGCTACTCTGCCGGGGGATGCTACAGGTGGTGAGCAGGTGGATATAAGGTGCGGGGAGAGCAAATGGTCTCCTTTCAGCACAACTGAAAGGGGATGGCAGTAGGATGTGTGCTTGGACCCAGGGTGTCAGAACTGCTCCAGCATCCTGAATCCAAGACACAGCTTGAGCCTCTGCAGTGCTTAAGAGGCAGTCCAGGAGGGTGAAGACCTTTCTGTGCATGGTACCCTCTGGCCTGCCTTGGCCACCAGGCAGAGAGTGAGAGTTGGTCGTGGACACGATGCAAGCTAATGCTGACAGGTGTCTGGGGAGTCCTGCCTGGTGCTCACAGAGGACCAGATAAGACAAAATTTGTCATTTACAAGTATTTCCTTTTTTTCCTGTATGAAATGGAGCTTGCCTTTGCTGGAGCAGTGTCCTGCCATGTCTCTAGCCCTGGCGGTTTGATTTAGCAGAGATGGTGAAGTGCTTCCCTGAACACAGCTTCGGGAGGGCTGGAGAGCTCCGGGTTTTTCTGAATCTTTCACTGCCACCTAGTGAACAGTTTTCCATCAATCTCTGTGAGGCGTTTTGGGTCACCTTACCCTAGGGCCTTTCTCCACTGCACGGCCGCAGGACTGGGGGGCCATTCTTAGCCCATGCAGAAAAGGGGTTGAGAAGAACCCTTGCTCCCACTTGGGGTGCTTTTTGTGAACTGATTTTGTTGTTACTACTGCCAGTTGAGGGTGATTTTTGTTTTGCTTTTGCAGGTTGTCTCAGTGATGTGCTTTATCGCACAAACACAAAAGTCAAAAATGGCTTAGTAAGTCATGACATGGGAGGAGTGGAACCAGGCTCATAGGGGTAAAGGAGAGCAGGAACAGCCTAAGCAGTATTCCTTGCTTGAGAAAACACTCACGGAATTGCACCCTCACAATCCTAACTACTCTGACTTCTTCCCACCTCCTCCAAGCTTTGGACAAGCAATGAGGCGCAGAGCAAAGCCTTATCATTGGGCTGCCGGGCCTCATCCTGCACAGCCTGCCCCACAAATACAAAGGAAACCACACTCCAAGGGCACTGCATTTATTCTAGCTTCAGATAGAGGAGGAGGAGAAGACTAATGACACTTCTGTAGAAAACGGTGAGTGCTTTCTTTTTCCAGAGTTTCTAGCAGCATGTCTCTGAGCTGCTCCCTTAGCACTCTCAACACAAGAAAGTTCAGCATTGTGTCAGAAACAGCCACTGGCTTTCATTTCCATCACACACTGCACAAACGAGTCCAGAACTGTTTAATGTGAAACCTTCCAGCATTTAATTTGGAGGGTATCTGTGGGTGTGATGTAGTTTCAGGGAGAAGTTCTCTACAAAGCAGATGAAGACCTAAGTGGCACAGGCATCCTGGGCAGGTTTCTTGGCTTTCTGTCCCTTTGGAATGGGGGAACAAGGAGGCTACAGGGCTGTCACTGGCAACATGCGGGACATCCTAGATGAAGAAGACCACTTGCTGCCTCCATGCTACCCCAGGTCAGCAAATCTTCTTCAAGTGCACATGGATCCCATTAGCAGACTTGAGGACAAGCTGTGGTATCAGAATGGGAGGCCTGGATGGGTCAGGAGTGATTTCGAAGTGCTTCAGGGTCAGGGCAAGAGTCACCTTCATCTCGTTCATGGCAAATTGCTGCCCGATGCAGTTCCTGGGGAGAGGACATCAATGACTCAGATTGCAGCCTTCATTCCCGGCCACTCCCAAGCCCTGCACTAGCCACCACCAGCTTCTTGGAGCTTTGAGCTGCTGTGGCATCTCTGGCTGCTGCCACAAGGCACGTACCAGCAGCACAGCTTATCTAGGAATCTCTTTATGCCACATCAGAAGTCGTGCTGCTCTGGGGCAGCGTACTGATGTTGCTTGATAATAAGCACCAAAAAAAGAAAAAAAAGAAAAAGATATGAACTTCAGAGGAGTGTGCTTTCTTCACCAGAAGGTGCTGGAGGAGGGCCAGGCCTCAAACCATTCACCTCAAAAAGGTCATATTTTTCTCTGTTGGCTCTGTGAAAGTTACTTAGACATGTGTATCCCGCATCTACTAGATAAGACCTGATTAGCTTCAGAAGCAGTGCTCTGGGTTAACTCTCCTATGTGAGGCAACCTGTGATGGAGAAGGCAGGGAATGAAGGAACTCTCACCTGGGTCCCGCAGAGAAAGGCAGGAAAGCATGTGAGTGCCTCTGTGCAGTGTTTTGTGGAGAAAACCTCATTGGGTCATATACCTATGGAAAGATCAAAGGCTGTTAGTTCAGCGATGGCTCCAACACGAGCAGCTCTGAGTTCTCCTGTGGTCCCAGAGCCGGACTGAACGTGACCTCTGCTGCTCATGGGGAGCTGCAGCTGACATCATTGATCCCTTTGCAAAGCCATCAGATGAATGAGGACAGAGAACTGGTGGTTGCTGCTGGAGGAGTTATCCCAGGATAAATGAAAGGCCAGGGATGAGGCAGGTGGCTGTGGAACATCCCTATTAATCAGTTTGCTCTCTCTCACGCCCTCTGCATCATCATTATCCAGGGCTGCTGAAGGCAGTCTGAATACTTCTATATCAGGAGGTATGAAGATAGACAATTTTAAAAACCCTTTTCCAGCACTTTGTCATGTTCAGATCCTTTGCGGTGTTTGGTAGCTCTGTTGAACTTTGCATTTAGCCGTGGACTGTTGGAGTAAGAGGGGAAAATAAAAACAAAGACATATACACACACAAAAACCCAAATCCAATGCAGAGAGGCCAAGACTGTTTTGCTCAAAAGGAGTAAACATGTGGACTAAGAGCTCATCTCCCACTTCTTGTTATGAAGGTAAAATACCTCAGAGTCTTCCCATACATCCTGGTTCCTGTGAACAGCAAATATGTTCACTGCTACATAGCTGCCTGGAAAGGAAAAGTGAGAAAAGAGCTTATGACTATCAGAGTAACATAAAGACACAGGAGGAGTATTTGTGGGATGCTCACTGTCCCCGGACTGCACAAGAGATTTCAGAGGAGAACTGATAGGGGCATTTCCCGCTTGTTTAGGCAGGTCACCTCCTCATGCGGAAGAAACAACGGCCTCAAAGTGAGGACTCATTTTGGTACCAGTGGGTGAACTTCCATGTTTGGCCATGAACAGCACACTGCAAGTGCTGTTTGAGCTCTGTAAATGGCAATTAGATTAGAGTAGTAAAGCATGAACAACTGAGGGAAAAAGAGCGAAGAAACCAGACACTTCGCTTAAGTTAATACATTGACATGCAAGGTAGGGCAGAAGAGGATGAGGGAAGCCTGGTGCAGTAGTACAGGCTGTCCATGTACATCATCTTGCTCTTGCTTCTGTTCCCTGCCTGTCTTAGAAGACATAGGAGCATTTCTGTTGATTTCAGAAGAATTTGAGCCGGCTCTGTCTGTCTCTTCCCATCACAGGGACAGCGGGACCAAGGCCTGGGATATCCAATACACTGCAGTGCTCTAGAGAGGCCCCTTGGACATAATTCTGGGCTCACTGTGAACCATGAGCTGTGGGAACCCTGTAGTGCCCCAAGAGACAGTAACTGTAGGTAGGGGGCCCATTTGTGGTAGACAGCAACAAGACAAATGAGCAAAGTAAACAGACCTTCTGGTAAACTGCGCCCATCAGAAAAGGTTACGGGTTTGGAGAGGTGTCGTGCCACGATAGGAACCGGTGGGAACAGGCGCAGGCTCTCTTTGATGCACATCGTGCAGAATGTCATCTTCCCAAGGTCCTCCCTGAAAGCAGGCCAAAGGTAGGGCTGCGTTTGTGTGGCAGCAATGAGGACAGGTGCCCACGTGCCCCCTGTGTGGACTGGACCCCACTGGAGCCATGGGTGGCTGCTCCTTCTTGGAGAGCAAGTGCACTGTAGGATTGGGATCAAAGCTACAAGACAGGTCACTATGTGCAAACACAGGGTAGGCAAGACAGAGCTTTGTTCCTAAGGCATGCAGCCCACTTCCCTTTGGGATTTCTCTTTGTCCTCCTCCTCCTTTTGCTGTCCGGAATTGCTATGTGAAATGCAGATTGCCCTAGTGCAGATACAGTGTAAAGTGAATGCATTTTTCTTCTTAAAAGAAATAAAAAGAGTTCAAAGTGAAGGACTAAATCATTATAACTCACCACTCAATTGTATCTCGGTCTCCTAATATCTCCTGGACCTCTTCTCTACACCGTTGCTGGTACTCTGGGTATATTGACATGCAGTAAAAGAGCCAAGTAATCCCACTGGCTGTGGTGTCGTGGCCCTCAAACATGAATGTGTCCACCTCAGCACGGAGGTCCTCATCAGACAGCCCAACTCCATTCTCATCCTATTAGAGAGGAGAATATATCATCAACATGTGTACATGGGTTGGAACCTGCTTCATTGTGTATAAAAATCACCACAGATGATGGTGAAAAAAAAAAAAAAGATCTGACAACACTTAGATCTGACATCCATATAAATAAGGAAATAAGTCAGTAGAAGATATATCCAACATAAGTGAAATCAGTCAGGCCCATGGACCGTTGACTCTGCAGTCAATAAGGCTACAGACTTTGGCTTTGGTGGCAGATCAGATCACAGCTCTTCAGAGGGACATCCTGTTTGTTCCCAACCAAGGGTTCCTGTTGTGTTTTCCAGTATTGCGGCTTGCAAGACTTGTTTTAGATTGAGACAAGAAAGAAGGCAGTAGCTCTGGGAAAGCTCGAGAGATATTTTATTTCTCTCTCCTGAATGCCAAATGGCTACTGCCTCCAGAGTATCCGAAGATGTCTAGGAAGGCATAAAGTGACGATGGCCTCTTTGTAATCTTTCCAAAGATTCTCCTCTGTTTTCCAACAGCTCAGTTCTTTTAATCCATTTATGTACTCAATAAAAATGAACAAGAAAGATGAAGTTCCACTTATGCTCAGTCTCTCTCACATGTTTGTATTTCCTTCCTTTCAACCGACCTTTTCTCAGCCTAGGAAACGTGAAATGGGGAAGCTGTTGTCATTCATGCTGGGAAAGGATTGTGAGCTCCCTGCTGCCACATCCTCAGTGGAACACAGATATGTCCCTTGGCGTTTGATACGTTTTTTTTCAAACACTCACCTTAGCACAAAGTAGAATGTCCAGAAAATCCAGGTGTCTCTTTTTCTGGATCTTCTCCTGTTCCTTCTCACTGCAGAGCAACATCTTTCTTTCTCTTATTATTTTTTCTGTGTAGGAGAATGACCAGTCTATTAGATAAACCTTTCCCCTGCAGAGAGGTCATGCTCTTAATCCCTTGATCAGCAGCTCGATCTCTGTTTAATGTGCAACCCTCTGGTCAGTGTCTCTGCAACCCCCCTCAGAGCTGTTCCAGATGTGAGTGTGTGAGAGGTTCAGCTAATAAACAGGACCAGGGAGAGAAAGAGAGCGAGAGAGAGAAGTACCTGTGTGGCTATGGGCCAGCTTGCAGGCCTCTTGAAACTGGCGGCCTTTGCTAGTCATTCCATACAAGAAATCATTTAAAGGGAAACTTCGGATTCTCTGAACCACGAGGTAGCTCAGGTCATAAACAGCTTTGATGTAAAAGTCGGAGTTGCTGAAAGGAAATCAAGTTTGAAATCAGAGTTAGCAATGTGAGGGGAGGAACAGGAGTATTTGTTTTCTTAGAATATAGGGGTTTAGCTACTGACCTCTGAGTCTGACAGTTGGCATCGTAACTGAAGGCACATTTCATGATAGTGTCTAGTGTCATTAAGCTGACATCGTTAAAGATCTCTGCTGACTTCCCTTGCTTGTTCTTTTCCCATTTATCCTGGTGTTGGAGACCAGAGGAAGGAGGAAGAGACAATCAGAATGGACTTGATATGATCAGGTCTGTATCCACCTCTTCCCGGATCTACTCTCCTAATTACTTTCTCTTCTGTAAGCAAAGGTCCTAGTTCACTACCTACTCTGTGAATCTAATCAAAGAAGTCTTTTTCCATGTTTACCACTGTGGAGCTAGGAAAAGCTACCCTAGCAGTGACTGATTTTTTCTGAAAAGCAGATGAACAGCAGAATTAGTGGAATGGCCAAAGGAAGTCAGAAGGAATAATTTGAGAACTTTGAAAGGATCTGAAAAATTCAGAATCAGGAAAGAAATTTTAGGAACCACCTAATTCCACTCCCTTTCCATCATCCTGGCCCAGGCCTAATTATTTTGACTGTTGCATAACTCGAAAGTAGCAGGGCTGATTCTTACCAACATCGCTTTGACTGAGTCTGACATCAGGGTCATGTAAGGTTTCAGCACATCATAATGAAATGCTGGTGTGAGCAGCTTCCGATGTTGAAACCATTTTGCTCCACTCGTGACCAATAGTCCGTCTCCTTGAGACACAAACAGCAAAGACACAATCAACTATTTCATAGTCTGATCACCTCAGCATTGACAGTATCGCTGATGCTTTTTGGTCAAGTGGCTACCTCCTAGCAACAGACAGGACCTGTGAGGATGAGGAGTTGGTAGTGGAGTGATACATTGTGGATTCAAGTCTGTTTATTCCAAATATCACATAACAGTGTGGCTTTCTCAAGCACAAGGGGAATGAAACAGGCAGAGCCGGTTTTGCTCACTGGCCCTGCCCTTCTGTAGACAATACCTGCCCCACAAGCATAAGGACAGAAGCATAAAACTTACTCTCACAGACGGCTTTTTCTGCCCTAAGTGAAATACTTGGTTGCCTTTTGCAGCACAAACTGAACTACGAGACAGTTAACTTCATGGAGGGCTTCCATGAAGCAGTATGCAAGTCACGAACTGGACTGTCCTCTGCCTTAATATCTCTCACCCCTGTTATATGTTTCTGAATTCAGTCCCTGAACAGACTTGCTGCATTGCTTTGTGGTCAAGGTTGATATCTCAAGGCAAATCTATTTATTTCATGCATCCCACAATTATGTGGACAGTAGTATTAATGATTTCACCTAAACGAACCTTCCCATAGCAAAAACATTTTAGAATGGAAGGAAGCAAAATAAATGAAGAGGGGAGCACATGAAATGTGTAGCATAGCCAAAGGGAATATTTTTTTAAAAAATTATTTACCTATCCAGGGAATTAAGAACTTGTAGGTTGCCAGGCCCTTGGGGTCTGTTAAGAACAAACAGAACAAAACAAAAAGTATATATTACAAAAACGTACAAATGGCTAATGAATATCAACATAAAAAAAAGAAAAACAAGAAAAAAATCAGGATAAACTGACATTAGAAGCTCTCCTCTTAATCCCAATGTAGAATTAACGTCATCTCAATATATATAAACTATGCCATAACAATAAAGGTAAAGTTTAAACATGGTCTTCTACAACTGTACTCTCAGTGGTCTTGAGAAAGCCAGAGCAAGCTGAAATGAGAGATATGCATGTAGAAAAGGAAGAGTAGATCTCAAAGTTGAGGATAATGGATGAGAGTTATCGGAGAAACCCATGTACCTCAGCCACAGATTGGAGCAGAGGAAGAAGAGCAAAGAGAAAGAAGAGATGTCTTCTTAGGGCCATTTACTGTGCTAGCTCACACAGCTTACTGAATTTTAGTGGGAAACACAGGTATTGAGGTGACAGATGCTCACGATACAGTAAACCCAGCAATAATATACACAGTGGATTGAGAGGGTCACTGGCTCCTATCTTGTGTGAGAATGTTAGACGCTCCGTGACACCTGTGTGGGAATTTGAGAAGGAGGGCAAAGGAGCAACTGCAATATATGAAGCAGGTAAAAGGGACAGCTCAAGGCAAGCCTCATCTTGATAGGAAAATGTCAATGAGAGGACTTTCCAAAATCAAGTGAGAGGACTTACCTCCTCGGGCAAATACAGTTTTGGCATATTCAGGGTGATGGATAAGTAACGTAGGTAATGGTCCAAGCCACCTTGGAAAGGCATACGGAAACTCTTCTGCCCACACCAAAAACTGAGCTAAAGCTTTATTTTGAGTAATCTGCAATTACAGTTAAAAAAGGACTGTGTCAGGCAGAAAAAAAGAAGGACATAGCTGGGAGAGCAGAACTTGCCCTCTTGTGGAAAGCGTGTGCAAGACACCCATGCTGGGAGCCCGTGGGCAGACTTGGAGCAAGGGGCTTTCCACTCTGCAGGTGGAGGAGATGCAAGGCAAGGCAAAGGCTGCACACTGGTGATAGTGCACAGCCAGCGAAGCTACCTCAGTTACTGCAGCCCTGCAGCACAAGGACAGGGGGACTCCCTTGCTGGGGCCCTGCAGTTTAGCTGCATTACCATTGTATGGAGTCAGAGCACCTTGGCATCACACTCTGGGTCTGTAGTCAGCATGGGCAATGTAGGAACTACCTAGTGCCCAATCCGTGGGAGATCAGGACTGATACAGTTCTATCATCTAATTTCAGCAGTGCTAGGAGGGCATGCAGTGTGAAGTCAAGGACATTTACCCTACAGAACAGTGAAAATGGCTGCAAGTAAATGACCTTCTCTTCTTCTCTGCTTTCATGACCTTCTCTTCTTAAGTGGGTATAGGAGGAGACGCTTTTATTGGTAAAAGGTCTGATGCAGAAGAGAGATATTTTACCAAAGCAATATGTATCTCATAACCAGGTACTCTTCCTGCCTGCCCTGCACAAGTATTTGCACTCCTGGTACAAAGAGATTCTCTCCTGTAAGAAGGGACACACACTCCTCATCCAGTGCTCTTCTCCGTCCCTCTTGTCCTGAGACTTATCTTGCACAGTTGTTAGGACAAACCCTCCCTGCCTGTGCCCTGCAGGAGCCCAACTCTTTCCTTACCTGATGAATGTGACCATACAGCCAGTGCTTCGGTGGGCCAGGGAAAGCCTCCAGAGCTTTGATGACTTTCTTCCTTTTCTGGTGGAACTGGGCCACCTTCAGCAGCACAAAGATGAAGCCAAGCACCAAAGATAGCTGCAAAAGCACAGCTGGTTTGGCTATTTTGTCCAGCAGGAGTGTCATGCTGTCTCTGGGTCCTGGTTACCCGACAACACCTTCTCCTCCCTCCTTCCTCTTCTGTTTCTTCTGGGTCAGTCTGATGAATAGCTCAGGAGCGTATGAAAAGATCTCTCTCTTTTCCTCTGCTAGAGCTGTCTCTGAGAACTGCCGCCACCAGCGTTATCTGCCAGAAATTTAATGCGTGAGAAACACTCTGGTAGACAATGCGTCACTTTAACCCCGAGGCTAAGTTACTGCTTGCTCCCGTTCAGCCTTTTACCCACTTCCTGCAACACGTGGATAGAGGTAGCTTGTTAAGAAACAACCTGATCTGCAAATATTTACAACTTTTTTTTCTACAATCAGCAACTAAAAGTGCTTGTAGGTAGCATAGAGCTCCAGCTCTGCTATTTCCATCCATGCCCAGGTGGATGAAGCTGTCAGAGAGGGTGAGAGCTGGCCATGTGTTCCATTTTGCCCTCTTCCCTGCTCAGGTCTGGAAGCCCATGTGAAATGAGGAACAAATAGCTCATCTCTACACAACACACAGTGCTGGACAGATCCAGGCATCTTGAGCTGGAAGAAATTTACTATGCAAACTCTTAGCAGCTGTAACACTGTAAAACATAGCTGGCTTACAGCCAAGTGAATGTATATAACCTAATCAGCATAAAAGGGAATTTATCCTTCTTCTCTAAAGAGTCCTACTATATATAGGCCAGGGGGGAAAAAATTAGATTTTGATAAACTCACTGTTTCTGCCCTGTCTTGGAAGCTTCGGTGTGAGTTTCCTGGATGAATATTACTCCTCCTAACGATGTTAGCTAGTCTGATGTGGTCTTCTGAAGGATAAATTGTGATCTATTTCTGAAGTGGTAATGAGAAATTTAGAAAATGTTTGGGCATGACAAGCACTGGAGGTGGCAGTTTCTAGTAGTGACTTCTAGTGTCAGCAGTGATGGAGCATCTGAGGTTCTGATTCTTTAGATTTTGAGGTTGGTGGGCTGGATATTTCAATGTAAAACATGATGAGAATGCTGATATTCAGATACCTGCTCCAGTGGATGTAAAGGCTATTGGGCATGTCATGATAGCAAAAAGTCTGCTCTTATTGTGCCTCTTTGGAGACCTGATAAAGTTTCAGCTGGGGAGTGAATCTGTTCATTGCTGCTGCATGTTGCTAGTAGAAGACTTCTCCAGAAACACACACTTATGCTAAAAGGCATCCCTTTTTGTTGTCTATTCTCAGCCTGTTACAGAGCTGCAAGAATCCGTTTGCTATTCTTCCAAGATTGTCCACAAGACTAGGTTTCTTTGGCATTTCCTTGGAAATTGTTAATGTAAAGAGTATCAGCTGGAGTAAGGTGAGTGTGCAAACTTTAAACGTGAAGAATCCTTGAAATTCCCACTCACCTGCAGGTCTGGACTTGGAGTTGTGTCCTTGCTGAACTGTGGCTTTTCACCCACCTGCCATTTTATTTGTAAGTAAAGTGGCAGCCATTCTCAAAGTAAGTGTATTTACATTTGTGTAGAAGTTCAAGGACAACAAGAATTTCTCCAAAAGTGCCAGCTGGCAATAAATAACAAGAAACTCAGATGGAGAAAGGCTAGATTTTCTGTAGGCCTGTTCTAAATGGACAAGACTTACCACAGAGGCTTGGGATGAGCTGCCGTAGGCTAGGAAATCTTGAAATGATCAATTACCAGCATGTGCTGTGTGAGAAAAACATATGTCAGGATAGGTGCTAGAGACAAACCATCCAGCATCTAACACCTTATCCTGAGGCCAGGGATCAGCCCTGTTCCCATGCTCTAAATTAGCTCAAGCCATAAGATAAGGGACTTTGCTTGCATTGGAAGGAATGATGTGGACATCCACTGTCCCACTCATGTCCTGCTACTACAACAAATGTTGGCTGGTGACTGCGAGTGACACTCGAACGTCAGCACAACTGTCTGCATGGGACTGTGCTTTTGGTAGCATGGTAAGAAGCTGTAATCCAAAGCCATGATAACAGCCGAAAATCTCTCATACTCCTTCTATTGGGGGCTGTGGTTGCTTAAATGCTGTCCTAACACATTTCTTCTGCTCCCCTGTTTGACTGTCCCTTGATCTGTATCCTTGTAGCTTAATATAAGATAGAACCTCTGGATCTTTAGTGTTGGGGGGAAGAGGAAGGATAAGTAATACCCTCTGCCTGGTAACTGTTATCTCCACAGCATCATTCTGCTTTCCCACCACAGCTCTGTTGACACATTGTGTTGTTTGACTATGAAGTTGTTAGAGCCACACCGGCCAACAACTTTGAACTTTGAAGAGCATGCCAAGACGCCCAGTAGAGCAAAGGCAGGTTTCGAGCTGCCAGAACGCCCCTGGCAGGCACTGAGCAGCGTCAAAGCTTTTCCCCCACTTGGCAGGTCTCAGGACACAAAGTGTATATTGTTATGACAAGCCTGATGGGTCTAAACTAAAGTTCAGGACAGATTTAAAAGTTGTCCCACTGGAGGCAGGAGATTGCAGTCTATCAGCTTGGTTATTTTTCGGGGGAAGGATTCAGCTACAGTCTGAACAAGAGTCATTCAGTCTCTATTGTGACAACTGTCACTCCTGAGCAGGAGTACCCACACCCAGGGACCACATAGTCCTGGGATAGCTATGAAAGACACCTCCTTCCCTCTCTTGCACACTACTTCCAGCTTGTCCTATGCAGCACTGGCTTCCCATGAGAAGAGGATGCAGGACAGACTCTGCCTGGTTGGCCACTTGGCCACTTAGCAAGATGGCTGAAGTCCTGGGAGTCTCTCCACTCAATTAGAGACATAAGCTGGAGGAACTTTCAGGAAAGAGGAACTTTCTCACTCACTTAATGCACATTGTTGGCACTTGTTGCAGAAGAACTGGTTGGTTGAATGCATGTAATTTAAGTGGTGAATCAGTACTTTGCCCTGCAGTATGACCTTGTGGCAGCTGCTTTCCTGGGTATGCATGTGTTTATTTGGATAGGAAGAGAGCTGGGGCCCATCTGTCCTTGTGTGTTCCTGCAGCACTTACTGTTGAAAGATGAAATGTGGCTGGAATGCCAACAAAAATAATAATGTTTCAGGCTTCCAAAAACATGACATATGAGGAAATCACAGCAAGGGCCCAGCAAGTGTTGCAGAGTAATGTGAGCTGCATGGATCCCATCTGACCACACATGTCTTGAGGATGAATCTGGAAGCATTTAATACAGCTGTCTTGCAAATATGTTGTAATAGTTATTTAATTTACAGTCTACTTCCAGGCTTGAAATTCCCAATGGAGTTTGGATGGAAATTTTTGGTAGCATCTGATAATGAACCAACGGATGAACTGGATCTGGGAGCAGCCCGGTCCTGGGCAGGGGCTGCATCCCAACAAGCTGCTGTCATCACTGGTCCTGCATCCTTGGCTGTGCTGCCAGCATGCAGGGATATGCTACCACCTGCAGTGCTATGGTGGTCTATGCAGGAAAAGGAATAACTGCATGAGCAGATGGCATTTTTGCTGTTATTGAAAGGCCAGGAGTTTTGCTATTTAGCTGTAACAGTAAAGAACAAGATCTTTTTAACTGAAATGTATACTCATCCTGCTGTATTGAGCATCGCCTCTCTCATGAATGGCTGTTAAACTAGTTTGAAGGGCCAAATCAGTCCAAGGTCAGCTCCTCATCTTTGCAATTACCCTTTCAACAGAAAGCTGGGAGTGATTACAGAATGAGGTAACCTCTCAGCAACCAGCCTTGACTGTCTTTATTCCTCTTGTTTTTATATCCCTTGTAAGCAGGCATTTTTATTACTGCTAGAACTTTAATAGCTAGGTCAGGAGGTAGGAAGCTGTCTGGGAGATAGAACTACATTCTGGCAAGATCTGTCTTACTCTGGAGCTGGGATAAGAGTAGTCCCAGACACCTATGCAGCCTTAGCACAGCTCCTGGTGCACAGAGCTGGGCCCAGGGGTGCTGCGCAGCACCAGCTCCATGGGACGTGCGGGACACAGGATCTGCTATGCAGGATGCAGGAGGTGTGATGCATCCTGCATCCCATGTCCAGCATCCTGTGGCCCTGCCTTCCTTTTCTGCTTCAAGTGCAGAGCAGCAGGTTTTACCGAGTCCTCAAAAACTGATGTGCAAAGCTAGGATGGCGCCAAGTCTCAGGTTGTCCATGCTTCTGCCACAGGGCAGCATCAAATTTCCCCAAACCTCTGCAAATGGAATTTCCCAGGCTACCTATTCCAGTGCCTAACTACTTTTAGCAAGCACTTTGTGGTGGATAAGCTACAGCTGCCTAACTGCAGTTTAAGCCATTGTCTTATTCACAATAAATACAGGCACCACTTACATGGGGGCCGTTACCCCAGTCCCATCCCCTTTTACTTGCCTGAGTGCAGTGGGCAGATTGTGATTTCTGTGTTTTAGTCCAGCTAATCAGGTTCTCTTGCTTCAGACTTTTGTGTTTGCCTACCAGGGCTTATCCACTCCATGAATTTACTGCCAGCATTTTTCAAATCTTGTTTTAAAAGAAAATTGACCCCAGCATAGAGAAGTATGTAGTGTTTTTTTTAGTGACTTCAGCTATTTTGATTAATTTTTTTCTCATTTTGCGATTTAGAATATGTAGGCAAGATATACTGTAGAGTAAATGTAGTTGTTTTTATGCTTCAAAATTCAAAACAGGGTTGAGGGACACTCTCTCATTTTATCTAGGAGAAGGAAATGCAAGATAAAATTTTTGAGAAATAATTGTTCTTATATATCCTACTGTGGTGTTTGCTTTTACTACAACATCAGGATATTATTGATTTCATTTGTAATCTTCTGTATCTACAAAATATCTTTTCTGCAAGTTTATTACCTAGTTGATCATTTCTCTTCTTGATTTGTGCAATGATTATGTCTGCCCTTATGCTTTGTATGTGTCTTTACAGAATTGTACCCTATTCACTTGAGCATTTCTGCAATTTATCAAGGTAATTTTGAATTCTAATATTGCCCTTCAAAGTGCTTTCAGCTTCTCATGGTTATACAGCATTTTAAATTTTAATAAGTGTACTTGCTATTTCATCATCTCAGTCATTAGAGAACCGAGTAGATCAAGGACCTTTGCTGAACCCAAGAGATATATCTTCTCTATTTGAAAGTGAACTATTAATGAACTCACTGAGCTGGAAAATGAAATCTCTACGTCTACCTAATGGAAGATAGATCTAGCCAAGTTTCCGTGCCTTGTCCATGATCACAGGCCTTACTCCTTCCCTTAGCATAGGTCTTAGCATGAGTCTTGGGTCTACTGACCTCTTCTCTGAGAGAAAAAAGCACAGGCTTTTGTTGATGAATTTCTTTTGAAAGCACTTCTGGTCATCATTCCATCACTCAACATGCTCCTACCTGTCTGCTACTCACACTTAGCAACAAGCGGGTTGCTTCACCTTGCATAAAAAAATAGTAAGAACCCAAAATATAGAATTCAGAGCTTGTTTTCACTGTGGGATACTTTAGTTATGAACTTGAGTGTTCACCTCACACCTGAAGAGAAGACCTACAGCTTGAACATGGAGCTTTGGGCTGGGCTGCACCGGCATTGTGGTTATGGCAGGAGCTGACTTGTGCCTGGATAAACTGGACTAGCTCCAAAGCCAATCTCTGTTGATCTAGGATTCATTTTCCCTGGCAGAGATGGGAAGTCAACATTTCCATAGTAGAAGAAATAGAGACAGGAATGCTCAGGAAAAATAAAAGTCACATCTATCAAGAGATCTTACCTAGATATTACCTTCCAAAGTCTTGATCCTTCTGTATATAAATGGGGGCAATGTCCAAGACTACCTGCCAATTGCCCTTCAATTGGGAATGATTGTTTCTGCACAGAAGTTTATTGGTTTTTTTAAGAAATCTTTTTCATTGTAAGTTTGGATTTGTACTTTTTTTAGAATTCATTATAAAGGCAAAGTGAAGCATAATCATTCAGATAACATAAGGTCCAGCAAGATTATGACTTTTTTCTTGAAAAAAATCTTTTCTTCCTGGGATACATTACCTCTAAGAAGTCCTGTTTTTCAAAGTAAATAAGAAAAGTTCTCTGAACAGAAATGACATTTTGATTTTTTTCTGGTTTTGAAAGTGGACAAAAATAACTGGGGTGAAGCTGAAGTCTGGCCTGACACTTGTTCTTTTTCTATAAT